TCTCCTTTCTGCACCAGACCTTTCTGGGATCTGCTGGCAGCTGGAGACCTGGATCCCAGGGGAAGGTGCAGTTCCCCGGGGAGCAGCAGGGGCAAAGGCCACCTGCACTCAGGAGCTAATGCAGTTACTGGCAGCATCAGAAACCAGGGGCTCGGAAACTCAGACCCAGCAGCTGTGCCAGGCCTTTTTGCCAAGGATTAATTCACTCGGGCAGACTCCAAGAGAATCCCAGGCTCATCCCTTTCCCCACTTATTTTTCCCAATCATCCTTTTGTATGAATAAAAAGAGGTATAAAAACAATGCTTTGCTTGGAATGTCTTTTTTTAGCTCCAGCTACTGTSTCCAAATTGCCTCTCCTATCCATGCTCAGCCCCCAAAATGTCATTTTKGGGGGATTCCCATTTATTCCAGGTGCTCTAGGGCTGGGCACAGGGCTCAGTGGAGGCGTTGGGAGCTGGCAGGCAGCCAGAACCATTACTGTATTTTGTGTTTTTTAACACTCCCACCACTATTTACAGTGTCCCCACAGCCGGCTGTTCACCTTGGGGACCTGCAAGGACACCCCGAGCCGGGAGGGAGGAGGACACCAGCCCCTTCCCCGGTGGCAGAGGCGGCTCTGGAGGTGGGATGGGCACCCTCGCTGTCGGCTCACCCGAAGAGTGAGCTGTGTCCATCCTCAGCCGCATTCCCCGCATGCTTGCGGGAAGTCCTGGGCTCCCCATGCCAGGATGCTGGGCCTGTTTGCACAGGGACTGTTTTCTGGGGAAAGGCAAAATTTCTCCCGGTTCCTTTCTCCCCGTGGAGGCTGAGGGAGCGGGGAATTTCACCAGGGCACGGAGCCATCGCCAGCCCAACCGCACAAGCCTGGGCAGCCCCGGGATGTGAGGGATGGCTCCAGCCTGGCTGTGGTTACAAATATTCGTGGCAGCTCCTGCCAGAGCCCATCTCTCCCCTGGCCACACTGCCCGGCCAGGATCGATGAAAGCCCGTGTTGTCCACTGCAGCAGGATCCAGACGCCTCATTCCTCATCCTGTGCAACCCAAAAYCCCTCAGGGCACGTTTGGGTGCCTGCTCAGTGAGGTGACACCAGGGACCCCCCATATGGAGTTCCATCACCTGGGCAATGCCTTCAGCGCCTCCTTCCCTTCCTCACCCACCCGGAGCCATCACAAGCCCCAAAGAGGAAGGCAGGGAATCATTTTGGGGSGCGAAACGGGCTCTCAGAGAAAGGAATCCCACAGAAGCCCGGCAGCCCAGTGCTGTTTATGCATCTGCCGTTTCGAAGCCGAACCGTCCCCGCGGGGTTCTTTGCCTTATTGCTCTTTAATAGCCCTGCTCAGGAAGCGCGGAGCCCTGACCGCCTGGTTAATGAGTACGGGAGGCACCGACCCCTCCGGCTGGGACCCGGTGCCGCAGGGAGACCCTGTCCCCGACACCCAGGGCCAGGACAATCCCGCTGTTCCCTGGTGCACGGGCATCCCACCCTGTAAATCCCGCTTTTGGGGCTGCTAGAAGCCCGAACGGTTCTTTGACACAGATGTTCACCCGTGATCCTAAAGCAGATGTTCKCCTGCTCGCCCCCCGTGCAGCTGCCGGCCCCCAGCCCAGCTGTTTGTCCCCCTCCATCGCCCCAATCCAGCTGTGACCCCTCCCCAGCCCCCCCGGRCCCTCCCGCAGGTGCCGGAGCCGGAGCGGGGCGGAGCGGGGCGGCCCCGGGGCGGAGCGGCGGCGGCAGCGGGCGGCTCCGAGCGCTCCGTGCGCGGGCTCCCCGCGCATCCCGCTGCCGGTAAGTGCCGCGGGAACGGGGGGAACGGGACCGGCCGAACCGGGCCGGGATGGGACCCCACAGAGTCCGAGCAAACCGGGCAGGCTGGGGTTGGACGGGGCAGGATGGGGCTGGGATGGCAGGATGGAGCCCTAAAGGGTCAGACCCAAGCGGGCAGGACGGAATCTTGGTGGGTCTGAGGGAACCGGGCAGGATGGGGCTGGAGAGGACAGGATGGGACCCTAAACGGATCAGGGATGAGAGAGAACCCACAGCAGCCCGGCGCACCCCGTACGGGAGGTACCGGACAAGCCGAACCGGGAAAGGATGGAATTCCAGTGGGTCAGAGTGAACCGGGCAGGATAGGGCTGGAAGGACGGGATGGGACTGGACCGGACAGGATGAGACCGGACCCAAAAGGGTTCGACCCATTTGAATAGGATGGGACTGCACCTGACAGGATAGGACCGGACCGGACAGGACGGGACTGGACCGGACAAGATGGGACCGGTCCGGACAGGATGGGACCGGGCCAGCTAGGAAGGGAGGCAGCAGGGTCCAAGTGAACAGGGCAGGGTGGGTCTGGACAGGGCAGAGTGGGACCAACAGGGTTAGACCCACCCGGACCGGATGGGACCTTAAAGGGTCGGAGCGAAGCCGCCGATTCCCGGCACATCCCGCTGCCGGTAAGTGCCGCGAACGGGGAGGCGGGGACGGGACAAGCCGAACCGGGAAACGATGGGGTCCAGCGGGCAGATGGGACTGGACGGGGCAAGATGGGACCAAACGGGGTCAGACCCAACCGGGCAGGATGGGACCTGAGCGGGTCAGAGTGAACCGGGCAGCGTMAGAACCAAAAGGGTCAGGCAGGACTGGGAAGGATGAGACTGGACCGGCAGGATGGGGACAGACCGGGCAGGATGGGGCAGACTGGGCAGGATGGGGCAGACTTGGCAGGATTGGGCCCCAAGGTGTCAGATAAAACGGGGTCAGGATGAGACCTGAGATTGAGACGCGTGTGGATGGGACCTGGCAGGATGASACCCAAGTTGGCAGGATGGAGCCAGTGTGGGCAGGATTAGAACCGAACAGATTGGATTGAACTGGGCAGGATGAGGCAGAACTGGAGAAAAAAAACTGGGTCAGATCCAGAGAATATCCGTGCTTCAGCTGGGGTTTGGGGTGACCCCAAAGCCACCCCAAATGGAAGATTTCAGACTGTKCTCTCAGGGAGGATTGGCAGCTCTTGCCATGGAGCAGGGCTTGAAATCCCACTGTGATCATTATGTCAGAGCTGGCACAGGGTGGGTTCTCCCCTGTCCCTCTGCTCCCGTGGTCTGGCGTGCACCCAGGATGTATCTGCACCCCTCGGGGCATCCGTAGGGATCAGCCCCATGCCAGAGGTTGTGCTGCACATGCAGTGAGCTTAAATCTGCCCGAGGGACCTGGTTTTCCTTGGCATTTCTKCTGTGGGTGCCAGTAGCCTGCCCCCTGCCTATATATACACATACCCAGAGATATAATATATATCATATATTCATATATATAAGCATGTCTGCACAGAAGTGTAAATACATTTGTGTGTAGAAGTAGAAATATATTTGTATATATACAGACGGAGTTATCTATCAACAGGAGTGTGACTCCATGTGCTCAGGAACATTAATTTGTGCATAGGGTGTAGAAATTCGTGTCTATGTGTGTGTGAGTGGAGACATAGATTTATATATATGTACAGAAAAATGTGTGTGTGTGTGTGTGTATGGAGAGAGCCATAGATGTGGTTGTACATATAGAGAGAAATGTGCAGAGGTGCATTTATGCATAGAGTTGTGTATAGATATATTTTCATATATTTTTTTATATATATTTATATGTATAGAGGCATAAGCCAGCTGAGACTGGGACATTGCACCTTCCCTGTGCCCACTATTCCCTTTCCAGCTGGGAATCGCAGCCCAGGTTGCCCAGAGCATCCCTGAGGTGCTGATTTATGATGGGGCACCACAAGATGAAGGGGCTGGGACAAAATGACCTGCCACCACCTCCCGCCCCATTCCCCACAATCCATGTTGAGTCCCCCAAAATTCCTGGCGTTTTCCCGATTTTCCCACATCATTATACCCTCGGGCTTCACTAACTGGAGATTCCCTTTAAAACATCCAAACCTTGGTCCCCACTGGGCAGGAGATATTTTGGCCCCAGCCAAGAGATGTTTGTGGTGGCTTTTGGCYGATGGAGCATCCCCCTTTCATCCCCTTTGAATTTGCTGAGCTGTAGCTTTCACTTCCAGCCAGCCCAGCTTTGCAGCCCTGCCAGCAAGCCACAAAAACCAGCACGGGCAGGACAAACCCAGGAGGAAGGTTTCCAAGGGAGGAAGCCCTCCCCATATCCCATTCCATGTCCAAAAGCTTTTCCCACTGTACTGAGCTCACAGAAGCCCCTTTCACGTTAATTAAAGTTAATTACAGCTAATTCCACTGGAGAGGGGCTCGGTTTGGAAGCCAAGGGGTTGCAGAGGGCACGTGCCCGGGGAAGCTCACAGCTGCTGCTGATTATTTTTAATCTCTCCCCCATCTGGCCACCACCATGAGCAGCCCCACTTCTCTTTCCTGATCCTCGTTCCTCCTCTGCAGGCACCTTAAGCCCCTGGGATAAGGGTGAACTCATCCTGACCCTTCCCAATACCAGGGGCACCCCCTTTTTCCCCAAAAATATCTCTTTTCCCAGTGAATTTCACCCACTGCCCATCACCGTCAGCTCCTATGGATTTGGGAAGTGCCAACCCCAAAATGTGGCAGGGATTCCTGTGATGGGGTTTTGGGGTGAGAAAAGTGATTTTTGGGATAATCCTCCCAGACAGACARTGAGCTGGGAACATTTCCTGGGTACAGCAGCTGGGTGAGGCCGAGGGTCCTGATGTGGTTTTGTTAATGAGTTTCATTAATTGCTGGGTGCTGGCAGATTGTGGCTGGCCCTGGGCGCATTTGGGATGGGGTTTCTCCAGTGCCTGGCTTTTCCCCAGGATCAGGAGGGATTTTCCCTCCTCTCCTCCATCTTTCCCATCTCTCTGAATTCAGCAGCAGTGAGGTTCAGTGCCTTGTTTCCATCTCACAAAGAGGGTTTTTTTTCAATTTT